CATATTGGTTTACTGTAATGGAAAATGACAAAGCAAATTTGATTTTTTTTTTATTTTTTTTAAAGGTACTATTGGTGTGTAGTAACGTAGGATGATATGAGATTAATTAACTCAGATCAAAATTTGAAGGCAAAAATAGATTAATTTACCTAATGAATACAAAAAAAAATTGGGTATTCTGACTGAAACTATAAAAATAATTAATGGTGAAATCATTCTGTAAACAGTTTTGAGGCAAGCATTTATTAATTTTTATGCTTCCCTTCCCCCCCCCCCCTTTCTGACTTTCAAATAAAAGGCAGTGGTGGGCAGTGGTGTAGTATGTCAGAACCTCAATCATGGATCAGGACTTCCTAGGATGAAGTGCTCTACAAAGTGAAGAAAACAGTCCCTGCTACAAAGAGCCTAAAATTAAATGTTGGATGGTGTTCGTCCTGAGAAGTAAAAATGATAAGATAGGAAATGATAAAATCCAAAAATTACAATGAGACATGATGTGACATTCTCATGTTTTTCTCTGTCATAATAGCTAGTCGTGATTTCTTACAAGAATTCTAAAGGGAATTTCTATAATAAGCAATATCCTTCCAACAACCTGCTTGTTAAACGCCTGGTGGATTCTGTATTAAAAATTAACAGCAAGGTATAACTCCAACAGTGTCAGGCAAGTGTCAGTAACAGTAGCATCCTATCAATGGTGGTTAGATTTACTTGTAGATATAATGCACTTATAAATGCCCAAGACTGGCCAGACAAGTTGTTTAAAGTAGTTTCGGGGGGGATGGGTGGCGGGGCTGGAGCAAAAGAGAGCTTTTGCTTAACTTGTGTAATCGGGCATGTACTTTCAACACACTGAGTAGGACTGAAGATGGAATTCTACCGAAACTCGGAATGAAGAAAAGGAAGAGTATCAATATGCCGAGAGTATATATAAAATCCCAGGAAAACAGGAGCAAGCAGGAACCACCTTGGGTAACTCCACAATAAATGTCTTGTGTAGATGTGCCCAGTTAATATCGCCTAATTAGCTCCACAGGAAATGATTACTGTCCCTATTAGGCCACAGGAAACCAGTAAATGCCACAGCAGTGCACATGTAGATGCTGACATGACTGGCTGGGGCAGGCAGGTACTTCATTGTAGGGATTGCCTATTGGCTAGCCCAAACTATAGCACCCACTTCCCAACCAGCTCCTCCACAGCACGTTAAACTGGGTTGGAGCAGCTCCAGGTGGCAGGCTGACCCCCAGGTACCCTGCCAGCCGGGGTTGCTCTGACCCAGCACAATGTGCTGTGGTCTCAGGTGCACATGTAAATATGATGCCCAGGAGCAATAAACTCTAGCGTGATATATGCTGAAGTTTATTGCTGCGCCTTAATGTGCATGTGTAGATGAGCCCACTGATGGGGTGAGACTTTAGTATGTGTTAATGGAAATTAACATATTATTAAAAGAGAAACAAACAAACAAAAACCTTTAAGTATAACAATAACGTTTCAGTGTGGGAAACAATTTTGTAGTTTACATTTTTAGTTTTCTCAGTCAGCTTTTTCCACTTTCAAAATCATGGACTGCTAATTGATCTATAAATTGAGTTTAACTTATTTCTTTATAAGTAGGTGTCAGGGTTATTTGGAAACGTATTAGTTATGTTTAGTAACTATTATATTCATTTGTATAATCTTAACTTCACACCTAGCACTTATAGTAACTCTATATTCTATTCTGGACTTTTCTTTTTACATACTACAGTATAAAGTGAACATTCAGCTTGTTGACCTTCATAGCTGCCTTCTGTTGTAATACTTTATTCATGTTCATTTCATTTTTCTCTCAGCAAGTAAAACCCATTTCTATGGCATCCTGTGCTGTGTAAACTTTCTAAAAATGATAAATATTGACTTTATGGCCTGCGATATGTTCACCCGTGTTGAACATATCGCATTTCAGTGTTATTTGATCAGGTGATTTCTTGTTTTGTGTGGTGTGAGCACAGATCTGTAGCTTAGTGATTACTTGCTGCTGTTATCTGGGATTTTGTTAATACATATGATATGCTTCATAAATCTGTTTTAAGCATCTATTTTTATTTATTTATTTTTAAATAAATCCTAGTAAAGTGGTTGCCTTTCAGTAACTACCATTTAAAAGAGGAAATTGACAAAAAAGCACACAGAATTATTAAGTGGACCCTGTTAACAATGTTTCAACAGAAGAGTAACAGTGATCTCTTTCTATAATATTAATGCGCTTTTTACTATAGGTTAGAACAGGGGTGGGCAATTATATTGACTGGAGGGCCACTTAACAAGTTTTGGTGAGCTGTTGAGGGCCATAAGTGTAACCCGCCTTTTGGCAGGTGCCCTGCCCCCTAGTTACCATTTGGGACCGGAAGTCCCACCCCTAACTCTTGACCTTTGCTGCCAGAAGTTCCTCCCCTTGCCCTGGGAATAGTCCTTTGGGGAGAGGGGGTTGCCATCTTAGAACCAGGAAAAAAACAAATCGTACTAAAAAAAATCAAACTTCTACTATAACGTTTCATTTTTGTCCTGATTTCTGTGTGATTGCATAGTGTATATGGAGGCGATTGCATAATAGCTCACAATAAAGTTTTACTCTTGTATATTGTGGGGGGAGAGGGGGGTGTTTGGGGTGGGGGTGGATGTATTTAGGGGGAGTGTGGGGGCATGTGTAGGTACAGTAGAGATGTGGGATGGGGGGGTATAAGGTGTGTGGTTAGGATGTGGATGAGTTGGGGGGTTGTCTGTGGGGTGCTTCAATCCCCTGACTTCCCCCACATGCTTTTTTCCAATGTGGCTGAGCCCAGCTCCTCCACAGGCTGGGGGAGGGAGGTATCAGCGCTACCTGCCTGGCTCACAGCATGCTGCAAAGGGGTGAGACAGCATCTGCCACTAGCAGGCAACAAGGGAAGCTTCTAGGAGAAGAGGGTCAGGGGAAAGGGGAACGAGCCTGGGGCCACCAGCTGTCTTGGCCTCTGTCCTATGCTTGCCCAGTGGGGCTGCAGCTAAGCCCATACTGGATCCTTCTGCTGCTGCTCCCACCCCACCTGCCTGTCCTATGCCTGCGTGGTGGGGCTGTGGCCAAGCCCACACTGGATCCTTCTGCTGCTGCTGCTCCCACACACCTGCCAGTTCCATGCCTGCCTGGTGGTCCTTTGTGGGCAGCCAAACTCCTTCATATTCCCCCTGTATCCATGTGCTCGCCCACCCAGCCATATGTGATGGGGCCGAAGCAAAGTGCAGGCAGAGCCCACTGCCTACCTCACTCCCCTCAGTGCCTCGGCTTTTCCTCCCTACCTGCTGCTTGGAGCGCTGTAGCAGGGACAAGAAGAGAAGTCACTGGAGGCTGGGGGAGCCCATCAATTTCTTCTGCAGCAGCCCTGCCTGGAAGCTGTGGCTGGGGCTGGGATCCTTTGGTGGGGGAGGCTGGGAGCACAGCATGTGCTATTTTGGGTGGGACTTGGCCTCATGCCGAGTGCAGCAGAGGCAGCTGAGGACCAGACCAAGTGTAATTAATTGGTGGGTCTCTGCCTGCAGGCCGTATTCAATCAGCTGGTGGACCAGATCCAGCCTGTGGGCCATATTTTGCCCACCCCTGGGTTAGAAGCATTGTAGCCCTGCAAATTGCTAAAGTAAAAATATAACTTAGATCTTTGTGGTTTGTACAAGTTCTCCCAAGATCACTAAGAAATTTAATTATGAGAAAAAACCCCAGTAGTTCATACTGAGATGATGGATAAATAGGATGCTAAATTTAATTAATATACATGCATTCACACAAATAATGTGACTGTAGAATAAACGAGATTCTCTCCTAAGAAAAAAGGACAAACTCGCTAGCTCCTAGTGCATGCTACTCCTTTTCCTAAGCAACAGGAAGAGTTGCTTGAAGATGTTTCATAGGAGGATCAAATAGCCATGTTCTTCTTTCACTTGTCCCAGTTCTATAGCACCTAGTCGCCTACCTAGAAAATCCCCGGTGAATCAGTAGTGTAGCCCAGCTCTTTCTGGTATTGATGAGGGGGCCCAGCCTTTTTGATCCACAGGCAGGATGGGCAGTGCCAGGTTCCTCCACAGGGTGGACCTGGCTGGTGGGTCTGCTCTGGTGCATGGAGCTAAATTTTGTGATGGGGGAACTGTTAGAAGTGTTATTTGCCATAGTTCCTCCACTGCCAAATTTCCCAAACTGGGGAGTCCCCCATGCTGGATGCCATGGTCACAAGAGTTGAGAAACTCTGGTATTATTTCTGTTACCCTAGACCAATGTTGCTCAACCTTTTTCCTCCTTGGGCCAGACAGACAGTGCTGAGTCCGTCCATGGGCTGGATCCAGCCAGTAGGCCTGACCTGGTGCACAGAGCAGAGGCAGGGTGCAATCCAGCCTTATGGGGGTGGGGAGGGAGGGTATAGCTCAGGTGTGATTGGCTCCCATGGGGGAAGGGACTATAGCTTGGTCCTAATCTACTCAACTCCCAATCCAAGAGGAGGTGTAGCCTAACCCTGATTTGACTGTATTGGGTATGGCCTGGCCCAGCCCAGATGAAGCCATGTGGGAGGGCCCTGATCTGGCTGCATAGGGAGGAGGGGGGCACGGCCTGGCCCTGATCTGGCCGAATGGGTGGGAGACGGGAGGGGAGAGGTGGGTGTGTTTTAACCAGCCTCAATCCGGCCATGCAGGGGGGAGGGCACAGGACCCAACCCCTGTTTGCCTGTTAAGGGCGTGGGAACATCCATATGCATGTTATAGATGTTAATATATTTCAATATATACTAATGGTAATATGACTTTTCTTATTCTAAAACAAATCTGGTATGATGCAGTCATATTGTTCCAGCATTGCCAACTTCCATGATTTTTATTTCCAGTCTCATGATATCTGGTGTTCTCTTTAGAGTCCCAGATGCTGTATTCCAGTCATTATGAAAGAATCTCAGAGGTGTGACTTACATTTGGTGTTTTGTTTTTTGTTTTTGCTTTAGATCTGCAAGCAAGGACATGGCTTCAAATGAAAGGGAGATTGTCATTTGGGTTTGCCAAGAAGAGAAAATTGTGTGCGGACTGACAAAGCGCACAACCTGTGTAGAAGTGATCCAAGCTCTGCTAGAAGAACATCAAGCTACATGTGGGGAAAAAAAGTTTCTTTTTGGAAAAGCTAGTGATTATTGTATCATAGAAAAATGGAGAGGCTCGGAAAGGGTCCTCCCCCCTCTGACAAAAATCTTGAGACTTTGGAAGGCGTGGGGGGAAGAACAGCCTAATTTGCACTTTGTTCTGGTGAAATCAGATGCTTTTCTCCCATTTCCATTGTGGAGGACAGCTGAAGCTAAGGTAGTTCAAAACACAGAAAGACAATGGGAGCTCAGCCCAGCAAATTACATGAAGACATTGCCAGTGGACAAACAAAAGAGAATTGTCAGAAAGACTTTCCGGAAACTGGCCAAACTTAAACAAGACAGTATTCAGCAAGAGAGGGACAGTATGGAGACCCTGATTCATCTGATCATTTCCCAAGACCATACCATTCATCAACAAGTCATCAGAATGAAAGAGTTGGATATGGAGATTGAAGAATGTGAAGCCAAATTCCATCTAGATCGAGTAGCAAATGATGGAGAAAACTATGTGCAGAATTCTTATCTAATGACCAGTCCAAATGAGGATGAACAACAATCAAATATACCATTTGCTCAAAATCAGATGCATGAATATTTAGACAACAGTGATGGAATTTTGCAGGTGGAAGAGGGACTGAGACATCACAAATTACTAATAAAAAAACTCAATGCTGAAATTGAAGAAGAAGTAAAAAGTATGTCCGTTGACACACATGGAGATGATGAGTCTCCATCTAATGGGGCATCTAATGGTGAACTGGAAGACTCAGATTTAGAAAGTGTTAAACTTGAGCTGGAAAAAAGTATGAAAGATGGCCTGAGAATCAATTCTTATTTGAATGCCATTCAAAAAGAACTTAGTTACAGAGAGCTACTACTTCAAAAGAAGGAGAAAGAATATGAACTCCTTGCAGAAGAGTTTAATTTGCTACACGTTAAAGACAATATTGAAACTACATTTTCACCCAGTGAAGAACAAGCCAACGGCAGCGAGAACTCCAGCAAAGGCACTGTGGTGTCTGACTTTGTTCGTAGAGTGACTAATTTAGATATCAATGATACTGACTCTGACACTGGAATCAGCTCTACTCACAGTCAAGACTCTGAGACAACATTAGGAGAGATGATTCTGTTATCAACATAATTGAAGACAGTTACGAACATGACTAAGAACAATTTAACAACAATCGCCTTTGGATATTTATTACCATTTAAAAACCTTGCTATTACAGGAGCTCAGTGCTGGGAGGTGGAGCACACTGACCTCAATCCAACAGCCATGTTCACATACACATGACCAAGTACATGGGACTATTCACATACACATACATGCACAAACTTATGCATGTACTTAAGCATGTGAATATTGTATAGGCTTAAAACAACGTGCTTTGCTGGATCAGTGTCAAACTGCTCAGCACTTGAAAGTGGAGCCTCAGTAGGACAGGAGGATTCTGTTTGGAAATGGGATGGAATCAAAGTACAGGTTGTGAAATCCCTTGATCCCTGAGTCCATCTCTTCATCTGAATAATCTTGTAGGAGCACGGATATAAAAAAAAATGCATCAAATCAATTGGGCAGCTTGATTCTCTGTTCTGTTACACTGACTTTATTCATCTGAAGTTGAGTTGAACTGATCTAATACTGTAAGGGAATATAAGGTCAGGCACACAATCTAGGAAAATTTAGTTTTCATGATGTTGTAAAGACAAATAAAAAGCATGTGCTATTTATGCAGTATATTTAAATTTCATTGCCACAGATCACAAAGGGTAACATTCCATAAGTATCTGAGTCATATTTTCAAAAGTGATCTTGTTTCCATGGAGTGTAAACTGCGCACAGTTTCAGTATGTCTTAGGCTCTTAAAGGCTAATGCCATAAACAGAGGCACCTAACTCTTGCTATAGTCGCCTATTTTCAGCTATTCACTGCCATTGAGATCCTTAAAACCCCTGCTTAGCTGCTTTCTGACTCTTGTTGTGCCTAGATTTTTGATAGTCAAATTCAATTCTTCTGGTACAGAACTATAGGCCCTGTTGCCCTCTTACTGAGAGTCCCAGTTCTCATCTAAGCCCAAGAGTCACTCTCAGCCTAGCATTCCCCTGCCTATCTTTGCCTATAGCTATGGATCTACTATGTATTCTTGGTGCGTGCTTCCTAGATCAGGATTTGCCTAAAAATCAGGTAGGGATGGGACATTTTGGTGTGAGCTAGCTGGGTATATAAGTAATTTCCCGCGCCCCACACTGGTTAGAGCATTGATATAGAAGGGCTGCTGTCAAAACCTTTTCTTCATTTGAATATAATGAGAGGTTTAAACCTCTCTTTCTTACTTCCTGGGTGAGGGTTATTGGGTAGGCTGGGATGAATCTCAGTCTTTCCTGTTGAAATGTTGCCACTTCCTATGACTATTCATTGAGGCAGAGAAGAAACAGAATGAGAAATAAATTATAGTGTGATGGTTAAGGTATTCACCTGGGATGTAGCAGAATCAGATTCAAGATAACTGATCGGTAAGCCAGCTTGCTGGTTTCTGGGAGCCTTGGTTTTAGATGCCTAAATCCCACCCACACCTTTTCCTAAAAGTATTCTCTATATAATGAAATAAGATGTGTACCTAACTTAGATTTGAGAATTCCATTATGAGGAAGGCACCTATAAGCCAAGCGTTACAACTTTGAGTGTTTCGGTGCCTAAATCTCTCTCTTTAAGCACTTTTGAATATATTCCCTAAAATCAAACTGCACATATTAATGGGAATTTTAAGGAGTGCTAGCTAAACAAAAACAAAGTTCAGTTACTTAAATCTTGGACATTTATTAAAGGACAGTATTTAGATGGCATAAATGTAAAGGACTGGTAATTTTAGCCATGTTTTTTCCTTCGACTATAGTTTGGAGTCCACTGGTTCGTTTCCCTGATTGACGGACAATGTAGTTTTCAGAATGACCAAAGCACTTAAACTGTGCTTGTATAGATGAATTGGAGAAAATCTTTCCTAAGTAATGCAAACAGTTCTTGTTTTGAAGACTTCTGAACCCCAGTTACATTATGAAGAAAAAAATTTGTTCTATCTGTCTGTGTTGGCTGCCTTAAGATACCTTGTTTCATACCATAGCTTTATCAGTCAATATTATTTTGAGTGTTTTGAATGCCTTGGGTGTAATATGTCAAGTCCAGACCCATGAATTCTTGATGGAAACTAAATATATAACAAATATTATACCTTAACTTTGTAGTAATTTATTAACACATGAACAGCCTTTTAAACTCTGTGTGTCATGTACCAGTGTGGCATGCATAGATTTGTTTTGTTTGTTTGTTTAAATCTTGAGAGTAGGTTAATATATTTCACGAATTGCATTTGAAATAATTGTTAACTATCAACAGTTATTTTAAAATACTTATTTTTGTGTGGTGGGGGGGAGGTTGTACTCTGTCAATTCATTTCTGTATAGGAGACTACTTCAGGGCATATAAGTAACTTAATTTCTTCTTCAGCCTGGCATCAAAATTGTTTGTCCATAGGCTTTGTGTTGGCCCTCTGCAAAGAAGTGACTTTCATCCATGCTGCATGCTTGATTGTGTTTCCATCATGTGCAATGTGTGTATATTTTCAAAGTATCGCTTTCTTCTGAGAAGAAAATAGGCAGTACAGTTTTTGAGAAGTCCATAGCGGTCTGAAACTCAGCCCTATGATTTGGACGAAGCCTTTATTCCTTTTAAGGCTAACCTGAGTTAAAAAATAAATTCACTATAGCTCAATGGGCATGTCTATACGAGCATTAACGTGCCATAATTACAGCACATTAAGTTTAGTAACTGTAATAACAGGTACTAACTTAATGCACTGTAATCAGTGCACTGGCACATGTTTTTTACGTGATGGTAATGTGCAGTAGACTAATTCTACTGTGCATTAGCACTGCTTTCACTGTGACACACTGATGCGCAGTCTACTATGCTTCTAGCATCTTGTGTAGCAATGTCCAAAGTCTTTGAGCTCTCTCCCCACCCTAAATCCCTTTAATCCACGTTTAGCGAGTTAATATGTCATTCTCTAAACCAGTGCTCTCCCAATGTAGTTTTACTCCTTCCTTTCCTACTCAAATGCCTTTCCTTCACTTAAACTGATAGATGTCTCTGTCCCCTGGGAGCTGCAAAATGTCACCTTCTTTTTGTTCTTTTCCTGTCTCTTCTTAAGTTATCTTTTTTGGAGTCCCTACACTCTTGTTTTATGTTGCATGCATTTCCATTGGGTGCACAATGCTTACTGATTAGAGGAACAAGGAAGTAATGAATGACAGGGCAACAATTCTGAGAATGAATGGTGTTGAGTAAGAATACAAGCACAGACATTGGGTTCAGCTGGGGTGAAGGCAGAAGTAATAATTTAATAGACGAGAGCTCTCTTTTGGGCATGGGGATAGTAACTGGGTGGTAAGTGGGTACGGACTCTTGCTATTGAAGTTCTGGGTTGAAATCATTTGGATGCAGGTATAACAGCGCTGAAGTCAAAGAAGATAAACTGATTTATACCAGCTGAGAATTTGGTCCTAAGACTTCTGGGGACTTCTCTGAAGTGGTCAGATCTGACAAACCTAAAAAGCAGCTTCTCTTGTCCACATATTACTATAAGCTCTGTAATTTGAATGTCATAGACTTTATATAGTAATTTCATGTTTCTACATGATTTATTGTGTAATTTTACAAATTTGATGAAGCCAGATGAGTCAAAATGTAATTACTTGTTTCAGGCTCAAGACGACTGTTTCTTTAGAAGACAAATATAAGAACATAATTATCATTTGATTATAAAGAAATTTACAGTATTTAACATGCTTTTATATACTTAATAATTACAGTGTAATTAAAGAATTATTGCGTGGTTGTCTCTTCTGCAGAAACTTCACTTCAAAATGAATGATTGCATTTTATCTTCAGATGGTGTGTGCATGGATTATAATATCTTGATATGAATAGTCGGTATGTATGTGTGGAACTTAATTGGTACGTTTAAGTCTATGAAAATGATAGAATGACAGAACTCTAGAAAGCAGAACTCTAACTGTACCCTTTCCAATTCCATTTGGGCATCTCTTTCCTTCTGCCTGGTTGACCTAATCAACCTAAAGGATGCCTTCAGGCTACACTTGATCTTAGTGCATGACAGCAGGATGTGCACAGCTCCCTGGCCTCAGCACAGCTCTTTGCTATGTAGCCTTATCATGGACATGAGCACATGAAAAGCCTCGCAGCTTTGTGGACTGAATCCAATGTGTTCTACAAGCCAGACCCAGCTCACAGGTTTTATGTAGCTGATGTTTGGCCTTGAGTAGTGGAAGAACAGGTTGGGGACTAGTTAGAAAAGCTGGATGCTATCGTGTCAGCAGAGCTGAATGGGATGTGCCCGAGGCTACTGGAGGAATTGGCTGGGTAATTTTGGAGCCATTGGTTATCTTTGAGAACTCATGGAAGTTGGATTTTGTCCCAGATGACTGCAAAAGGGCAAATATAATACTCAATTTTAAGAAAGGGAAGGGGGAGAATACAGGGGTATATAGACCAGTCACCCTGACTATAATATTTGGAAAGAGCATGGAGCAGGTCCTCAAGGACTCCACTGTGAAACACCTAGAGGAGAAAAAGATGATTAGAAACATAGATTCACTAGGAGCAAGTCATGTCTGACCAACCTGATTTCCTTCTATGATAAGGTGGTAAGTGTACAGGTGTTGATCCTCAGGAGTGATCTCTGTTAGATCTGAGAGATTTTTTTTTTCTTCCAGAAAGCAAACTGTGGTTTGTTCTGGGAGAAACTGTGAATGCCTCTGTGCTCATGGTTTCTACCTGGAGCACTGCAACTCTCTCAGAACCATAACGCGTGTACATGGTCAGTAGGTGTAGAGCAGCATTCTTCAATATTTTATCCATTTTCATGCATTCCAGAATATTTAGGCTCTAGGGTCTTACCCATCAGCTTTCTATTTCAGCATGAGGCTAATTTCCAGCCCTAACTGGGCACATCTACATGTGTATTCAGGCACATTAAATTTAGTACCACCAGTGTGAGGTACTAGACAAATGCACATTAGGCTGCCTTAATGACGGTAACAAATGTGCACGGTTTTTAAGTGATGCTTAATGTACAGTAACCTATTTTACTGCCCATTAGCATAATCATATGATATTTTATGGGACACGTTAATTTTGCACATTAGTAAGCACCTGCCTATTAAAGCGCACGTGTAGGCATGCCAACTGAAAACTAAAATCAATTGCTAAACAGTGATGTTAATGATCCTAATGGATGACCCATTTATCCCCCTGCCAAAGAAGGAGGCACTTTCACTTGGAATCCTTTAAATTGAAACTGGATGTCTTAGGATCTAGTCCAACAACAGGTTCTAGGCCTTGATGATGGTATTTACTTATATAATAAGAAAGGATGATATTGCATTTACTCGGTGAGATTCTATGGCCTGTGTTTATACAACAGATCAAGTCAGAAGTTCTTTTTGACATTATAATCTGGAGCTGGTCAGGTCATTTCTGACATAATGAATAGTAGAGAAACATTTGTCCAAAATGTCTCTGGATTTTACAAACTCTCACTGAATTCACTGCAAACTTCCTTTGGGAACCTTCCTGAATTCCTAGCAGATTTTTCCAGAGGTAGGGAACTTATCTTCGTACAGTGACATGAATGGTTGCAAGGATAGTCAGGCCCAGTGTCTGCATCAGTCAGTGTCTCTAAATTCACTCAATAGATTATGCAGGAGGTAGGGTAGGTGGTAGCGGTAATGTGTAGGGGTGCACATGCGCTCGCTGATAGTGTTGGTGCACCCCCTCGCAGTAGCGCTATCTGCATAGGTGGTGGTTGGGGGGGCTGGCACCCCCGCCTGAGAGCACCGGCCAGGCAGCAGGGGCACCAAGACAAGTGCCGCTGGCACTTCCAGGTGCATTCCTGGCCCTTCCAGGTATGCCACTGGAACTTTTGGGCAGCTTTCCCTCTTAGAGCCAGCTTAGAGGGAATGTTGCTTCCAGGTCGGCACATGCGACAGGCCGTGGAGGGAGCCCTCCTCCCCCCCCCCCCCCCCCCCTCCGCCGCGCTGTCGCGTGT